AGACTTTATCAACTCTTTTCTGATATATTTTTCTCTACTTCATTTAGCCCGGCCAAGCTCTTGAATTTATTAAGGCACTTTGAAGTGATCAGTTACATTCCAGTCACTTGATGCACAAGTGTCATACTTGACAACCCAAACTCGAAATTCTGTTGTTCTATGATTATCAAACTGATTGTATAACGTTTATTGAATGTTGTTTTTAACAAATTCCCTTGAGCAAACCTACCTTACACCTGTAACAAGACTTGTCTACACATGGTGGACTAGAATTTTTTTTCTTTGTCTTGTTCTTGGATTGAGTCTTCTGGATAACATGCAAATGTTTATCACATTTCAAACTGCAATTGCCTCACATCGTAAATAAGATGTTACATTCTCACTTGATGAAACATTTTGATCCGCCTTTGTCATGAGGTGTAAGGTGTACCTCTTTCAAGTACATATAAGCTTCTCAAAATTGCGTATTCCCAACTACATCTCGCATGTACAATACATAATAAGATTTTCTCTTGATAATCATTGAATGGACCATAGCTTTGAATAATCAAAAAACAAGAATGAAAAGAAAGGTCATGCAAAACAAAAGCTAGTATAACATCATAAGCCCCAAGCATTTAAATATGCCAGTCTGAAATATAAAATTGGTAGCAGTCATAGGATTAATTATTTAATTGAGCATTATACAGCCAAAAAGGTTTACCAAAGACGAATTTAGAAGTGTGACGAAAAGAGAAAGAGAAAGATGAGAAAAGGTGTGGAAAAAAACGAGGATGGCTAGCCGATGTAAACCAAGGAAAAATCTCAAACATGCAGGAATTGAATGATAGAATATAATAAATTAAACTAAATTGGATTGAGGAGATGAATATGTTGGACGTTGGGTTCATGAGGTAGTCAGATTGAAATATCGTAAAAGGGAAGGGAAGGTAAGACTGTTAAAAATTGGAAAGTTTAGTTTGTGATGTTTCATAAACTTATATGAAAGATTCAAAGTGATGCGAAGCAGAGTTTGACTCACGAAATAGAGTATTCAAGAAGAATACCGGGAAAGGAATAAAAATCTTCAATAGCGTGCATAACAGAGACCTAACGGGTCAAGTCAAGACCCAAGGATGTCTGTGAGTGTTTAGAGGCGTGACGACTGCTACTAGCACGGCAAGGATGAATAAGGTGGGTGTTAGAATTGGTAGGATTAAAATTAGGATGTTGATATTGTTTATTTAAAATTGCTTGTTGTAGGTTTTTACTGGATTCGAGAGCAAAGGAATTGCCACCCTTATGGATCGAACCAGATCGGATAAGATTATTCGAAGATTCAATTTCAGATCGGCAGACTGGACGTTTAGGAGGTTGAGACCGATCTCCATGGTCCAGCAGAATCGCATGAGGGCTATGATTGACGGGGCTAAGTGAGGATATGGAGGTGGATGAAGAGGATACGGAATAGTGAGATGAATTTGAGCAGCTAGGAATCGAATTTGGGCTTAACCCAATGGGATTGGTTGTTTGAGTGGGTTGCTTCTTGATTCTCAAGGTTTGAAATAATGAACTAATCACATTCTGTGTTATCGATGGTTTGCTTTCGTGCAAATGCGAACTGTGGCTATCAGTAGGGGATCTGCTACGATCCATCTGCCGCAAGCCGATGCGTGAGTGAACTCGAACTTTTGAAGATTCCTTCGAAAATCCTTCAAGCACGTTTGAGGTAGTAGGTCCATAGACATAACCTTCTGATTCACTTGATCGTCGAATAAGTGTAGGGGCATTCGAGTTTGTGCGACTACTTCCAAGTTCAGGTAATTTGAGGTCTCTCACAAAGGCGCGATTGCGTTCCAAGATTGATTGATGAGATTGAGAGATCACATCATCAGCAATATCAAACCAGCGCGAAAGTTCTTCCTCGTCATCTTCACTTTCCATTCCGTACTGTGGGTAGATATTTTGAGTCGCATTTTGAAGTGAGGCGTCAGCATTGTTCATAAGCTGGAGAGATCTTGATCTCGACGGAACCGGTTTGTCAACTACAGAACCCACAGAATCACGGTAGAGGATTGGTTTCTTGACTTGAGAGTCCATAGAGTTTCTTAACGACATGGGTATCTTTGATGGTGACTCTCGCGATTTAAGCTTGGATAAACTGAAGAGAGATGGGATCTTATTCCGAGAACTAAGATCAAGGGATTTTACATGCGGTAAAAGTGTCTTTGCATGGGTTGACGGCTGTCGGTTTGACTGTGAAGCGCTTCTCTTGATGACGGCAGGGCTGATGTGATCGGGTTCAGAAAAGACAAAATCGTTATAACATTCCGGAATTTGAAAATTATTGAAATCTAACACCTCGTTCATTTCTTCATTAACTTGACTGTGGTTCATCAGCCCAGTCACCATTGAAGGTTGAGCAATCTTTGCGGAACTTGGACTTAAAGTGGATGGGAATGTTTCGGAATAAGGGAAAAATGATCGCGAGCTCTTCTTCATAGGTCGAGAATCGTGAGAGTCCATCGAATCAGGAGATATTGAGGGTATCAGACCAATGTTGTCTGATTCACTTTTGATACTATGCAAACTGATAGTAGTAGAGCTCTCAGGAGGCGAAGGTGAAAAGAGCGATTGACCGTCAATTGAGAAACTAGTATCTGGAGGCGAGGGGACTGATGCACCAAGAGACAGGCTTTGAGGATTGTGATGGGGGAGTGAGTAAGTCGTATGAATCTTCACGGGAGGAAGAAGTCGACCAAGTTGTTGAGTTCTGGAGTTTTCAGGGTGATTCGAAGTAAATATATTAGCAGAAGAGGATGGAGTTGAAGTAAGTGATGGGTCATGGAGAATGAGACGAGAGATTGATTCAGGTTGGACTGTGTGAGATGAGGAGCTATTGCGGTTAGGCCTTTCGGCAGATGAGTGAGGAACAACCAGCGAAAGCAGAACTGATGGGTCAGCATATGACTCGTTGGTCTGAACCTCACCGCAAGCAATCTCTCCTGAAGGCAGATAAATTTCCTGCTTCTCTGACACTAGAGCTGGAGAGGCTGAATCAAGACAGCTTTGCTCAGACTATAAGTCGACCAAGAAATCAGCTTTGGTCAATGCTCAAATTAAATAGTAGCTCGACACATGACTCACATTGAGAGTGGAGGAAGGCCAGGCATGTTCCGTATGTGGTGTGATGGTCGAATTGGTACTGGTCACCGACATGCATGATGGTCTTGCGCGAGAGGATTGAGTTGAGATCGGTGGCTCAAAAGGGTATGATATGGTAGGTAGTTGACCTTGTTTATAGGATGGAACAGGTGTCTTACTTGGAGAGAGGATTACACTCGAAGGGGAATCTGAGTTGAGCCAGAGTGGGGAAAAGTTGATAGTTTGATGTATTGCCTGAGGTCTAAGTAAGGGAGCAGGAGGTAGGAGATCTAAAGGGATTTGATCCAAGCTCGTGTCTGAATTCTTACCATGATGGAAGTTTGAACTTCATTAAGAAAATACGGACAACATGAAGAGGATGATGATAGTATGCAAGTAAGGAAAGAAACGAAAAGATTGAAAAGTGAGGATGAGAAGAAATGGTGAACAGACTGAACAAACCATTGGATTATTGACAATGGAATCAAAGTAAAATCACGTACTACTTAGTTGCCGATTCTTTATCAAACCAATCATTATCTTCCCCATCAAAATCAACACCCAAGAAACCAAGAGAAGCAGAAGTAGAATCAGATTGAGAGTCATAGCTCAAGTGATTTTGATGGTCAGTCAAAGAATGATATTCGGTTCTGTTGTCATCAATTTCTTTCGCTAATAGAGGTTCGTCTTGAGAATTGAGATAGTATTCCGATATGGTAGATTGGAATTCTTCTTCCTGACTTGAGTCTCTATGCTGAAAAGACGACATTTTGATTTTTGAGGCAATCATATACTCCACTTGATCAGGCAAAACAAACTGTTCACGATGATCGATATAGGCTAAATCAAAGATGAAGCTAAATTTCGAGCTGTACTGGAATCACAATGAGAAGAGATGAAAAAGAAAAAGAAAGGGATAACAAGAGTGGTGAGAGGGAGTTGAACGGTGCTTTGACTAGTGATCAGATCTCAGCAGAGAGCATATCAACTCAAAAATCTTGAAAGGAAGATAGAGCCAATGGTAAGAGTATGTTAAGCACGGTCAATTGAAGGATAATATGTTATAGATAGCTTTGATTGAGAGTGGTAAGTAGATGAAAAATCGAAAGTTGGCAATCAAAAACCGAAAGTTGGCAAGAAGAGTTGAAGTGATGAGATGGATTTATCCCATGAAAGGTGTTTGATCATTGATAATCATCTCACAATTCTGAGTTCAACTTATGAGCTTGGCTAGTCAAATCTCTTGGTTTTGTATCATGGGAAGGCTGATCAAACTTGCCTAATAGACCATCTATGTAAACTCACTTCATGACTGATAACACAATCAAAGTCTTCCTGGAGTTCTAAATCGGGTCGAAGTGGAGGAAATGAAAGTTCTTGAAAGCTTGAAAGAAGATTATGTAAAGAAAGCTTAAGCTCATAGATATAATTCAATCTGCTTAATGATGTTACCTAGATTGAGTTCGATTGGGCATACGCTATGTAACATGCTCGTGGACGGTAAAGATTTAGAATAAGAAGTTTTGATTTTATGAAGATCTTTGGTAATCATTGGCAAGAGAACGATGATAGACTTTCGGATGCAAAGTCGAAGAGGGTCAACGGTTAGGATGTGGGATGAGATGGCAGATAAATTCAACTTTTGTAGTACATACTTTGTGAATTCAAGTATTTATTGATCGAAGAAACTTCAGGTTAAGATGTAGATTGAGATCGCTGATAACGAATTCTAAAGGAAATCAGACATCGAGACAAATTGTACAGATTTGTACAGTCAATTTCAAAAAGCGAATCACCGATGGGTTGAATCTGTTGTGGATACCTCATACTAGGTCCTGCGGGAACCTGCTGTGTGCAAGTATGGGGTTGGAGAACAAGACTGGATAGCCTAGTGGTTAAGGCATCACATACGAGTTGTGTCCCTACACATGTAATAGGGTCCTTGGTTCGAATCCAAGTCTAGTCACTGCTTTTGGCTTCTTATGTCTTAACAGAATCGATGAGTGTCATGTTCCACACCGAGACTGTACGTGTGTATGCGACTTCCTTCTCTTATGCTGTTGCTGCTTCGTCCCTTCATCACCACTCTGATCATCTAACTTGACAACTTAACTCGATGACCTCAAGATGGACTTGACAATGTTTGCCTCCTTTTGGTGCGCGAGCAGAAACCCAAATAGGTTTGCTTCTACGGGGCTTGGGGAGCTTAGTTTGGCCTGTGTGACCAGCAAGATTTTGGGCCAATCTTGCTGTGAGGGCCATTTTGAGACTCCCAAAACTCATTTGACCATGTGACCAATTGAGCATAGATTTTGTCAGCCCTCTACATATGCCTATGTAATATTTAGCACCTCTTTCACAGAGCCAAGTGCTTATATGAGCTCTTGTGAATCTAGGATCTATTGCAGTTTGACCTCCGTGAAGTCTCATTCCCAACAAAGTGGCCTGGAGCTGCCCAGATGGTGTCAACATACTATGTAATATTCTTTTGCCAACTCAGGAGGTAAGTCTTGTTCCAGAAGAACCTTTGTGCTATGAGCCATCAATGCCCACCATTTCCACATTAGCTTTAGCCTTGCAATATTGCACAGCCCCCAATGACTAGTCACTGGCAGGCCAGTACACCCCACTGACCTCAACATGTTTTCAAAATAAGTTGAATCTGTTTTCAAAATAATATGTGTCTGCTATTCCAACAATAGGGGTTGGGCAAAAAGAGTGCCCAGCAAATTCCAATAATTCCATCTGGCTTCTTTTATTGTTTTTTATTCCAATTTTCATGCATGGTATTTGTCTTCAAAAATGATGTAACCTCAAATTCATGTAACTCTATACAAAACCCTCTCAACCATCAATCAAGCAATCTGATTTTTAATCTTTGACGACAGGCTGTTTCAGCAACTTTATCACAAGGGTTCTTATTGTTTGCCTACAGATCAAGCCAATTGGGTACCAGTGATATCAAGCTGGATGGTGACATGTGTGGCGACTCAGTTGTGGCTTGCACACCAGGAAGAAGAGGACATGAAGCAACACCAAATATCATATGCAGATCAGGACAAGATTGATGTGCATCATTAGATGCTGGCAGTGTGCTATATGACAACTTGGTTTTGGCCTCAGGAAATTGTTGAAATGCACCAGTGCTTTCAACTCTCTGAAAGAGTGGTTTTGGGTAATGCATGTGTTGAATTGGGCCTAACTTTACTTACTATACTCCTGGTGCGCCTGGCTGTGCCAATCCAACATCAAAATCTAGCGCAAAGATTTGGATGCAAACACAGCATTATTGGACGCATTGTGTGGTATACTCAAAAATGGATCAAAGACAAGTGGGTCATTTGCTCATGTGAAATCCACAACAATTGTACCCCTGTTGCTTATGCCTCTGCTCTTGTTAAATTGAAAGGTTGTGTGATGGATAACTGTGTAAGTTATATTGATGCTAAATCCAATTGAAGACATGTCTTGTGCAAAGATTCTGTTGTCATACTTATTGTTAATGGTCATTCACAGGGACAGTTTGGAAAATCTGTCACCCAAAAAGGTTTCAGGCTTTGTCTTACAATGGCCATAGACTGAGATGATGTCATATGTTGTCATAAATAGGGCAGTTCAAGTTTGAAAAAGCAGTAAAACAGAAATGAGTCTTCCAAAAGATCCAAACCATAAATTTATTTTTTAAAAAAAGTCTGAGGAAGCCCCATCCAAGACACACATGCATGACACACTGTTTTCCATGATGCTGAAATTTTACAGTCCTGGGAGCACAAAGTGCATAAAATTTTACAGCATTTTGGCCAAACTTGAACTGCCCTAATCTGTATAAAGTGCTCCTGTATTTCCCCACTCAGAACACATAGTTCATTAAGCCCCATCATCAAAATTGAATGAGTTATTAAGGTTTTAAGAAAAAATCCCAGATGAAAGATTCAACTTTGGTACTATACACAAGACTTGAATCTTGAATACTTTTGAGGTACATCAATATACATATGAATTAAATTGGAAAATCAATCACACCATATATTTTCACACATTTTCTCTTGATACATCACTTGGGGTTGTAGCTGGTTGTCAGATTAGCCGGGCAATCTAAAAAAAAATCTTAGCACAATGGCTGCCCCACTGCCCCCCATCATCACTTTCTGAAGCACATCGCTTCAGGTGTTGCTTGTTGAACTGGTTCATCAGCGGTGTTAGTTGTTGGTTTGATGATTGTTGATTGGTTGAGTGTTGCAGTTTTTGTGATGATGTTTCTTGATGTCTTGTGGAGATGAAATGAGGTCAATGTTTCATTGTGAGACTTACTTGGAGTAAAATGCTTGATGTGAGTTAGGAGTTGTGCTGGATTGTCTTGAGTTGAGTTGTGTTAAGAGTGGTGTTCTTGGGTACTCCTTGCTGGTAATTTTTTGGGTGGTATGATATGTGACTTGGTTCTTGTGTGGTAAAACCTGAAGAACTGACATCCAAAGTTGAGTTGTGGCTTTATCAGATGAGGCAAGATATTGGCAGTCAACATCACACTTGGATCAACTTCTGGCACCTGCAACCCAACATGGCTACATCAGACAAGCACAAACTGACCCTTCTACCTTACAATATTGTTTGATATCCTCCACTTTTTCAGGATAAACACCCCAAATGACATCACAGCACTTTTGACTTGCTCAAATCTTATCTGGTAAGCTTTGTCATGCCCTCAATCTCATGTTGGAAGACCAAACTGACCCATCCAACCCCATTTTTTTCTTGAAACCGTTCCAGTTGGCATCTGTTATCTTTTGAATTTATTTTTTAGGGTCCTATTTACTTCAACCAACATCTGATCACGCTCAATCTTCATATAAGCTGAGGATCTTCCACTCAAACTACTGTTCCTGCACAATCATCACTAGAATTGGCATAAAAACATCAGCAGGGATTAGTTCTTAACTTTCTTATTATTACATTGAATTACCGTCAAATCATTATCAGATTATTATCCAACAAAAACCTACCTTTTAAAACCACGCGCTTGATGAGGGGTCTAGTAAAGCTTAGAAAAAACCATGTCTGAAATTTGTATCACAGATGTAATTTGTGGTACACAAATATGTGTTCTGTAAATTTCCAGAACAGTTTACAGAAGACCAGAATCCCAAATTTTTGGGGGCAAAAGCCCAATTCTGGCACTCTGGAAATTGTTCTGGAGATTCACCCAACACATATTTGTATACCATGATTGCCCTGAGAAAACTGGTATTCAAAAAAGTAGAGGCTCAATTAATTTACAAGATCAACCCAATCAAAAAAAACAAAAGATATTATTCCAGAAAACAACCGTGAAGATGCATTCCAGCCAAAGGCTACAAACCCAGGACCTTTCTAGATCACTCTGATCTTGTCTGATTGGAGCGCATATGCCTAATTAAATGTACCCATCATACTTTGTGGGGATACTTGCCCCTGAACCATGATCAAATTGTGTAGCATCGTCGATGCTGCAAACACTTGCAACGGACTGCCTGATATGAATCTCAATATCCTTGAGATAATTCCCTTTAAAACTACGTTCCTTTGACCCATCTAGTGACAGTGCATCAGCTTCAGTGCGGTTGACTGAGCGCAATCCAGAGAAGGTGTCAAGCTCCTCAACGGCATCTTTACCCCAATCTATGGTGGTATCCCATCCGAGAAGCTGTGAAGCCATGTCTTGTACATATCGTGTCTTCTTGAGCTCTTTTGCCTCGTGAAACGATGTGTCACTAGCTGCATTCCGTTCTGCCAATATACGCCACTAGTAAATATATCAGCCATGACTGATCAGTGCCACTAAGAATAGATCTGTTGATGTCATATTTTCGAGCAAACTGAACTCACAGACTGAAAAAGCAGCGAAGGCGACATGGCAATACCAGGAATATGTGAGACTAATCCCATCGCCAATATCCATCCTCTTCTGTTAAACAAAATTGAAGAAACCATCAATTTCAAAGCCTTTTCCACACCGCCAATAAACAAATTTTGAGTGTACATAGTGAATTTTTGACTATATTCTAACCAGAAGACCCCCATCATGAGCTCACAGACAAGTGTTGTAGAGACAATAAAGCAAAATATCGCCAAAAATTCTAAAACAAATGGATAATACGATTGGTGATCTTATTGTCTTCTTTGACTATGCATATCTAGCTTATAAGTGAAAAGAGCTTACTGTATTCGTCTGTGAGTTCTTTTTGGATTAGTGTTGCACGACTTCCTGGAGAGGTAAGATTTCGTGTGTCATGCGTAGATAACATCCTGCGGAAAGTCTTAAAAAAGTAGTACGTAGTGGATAAGTAGAACTGTAGGATCAGTTGGACGAATCGACAAAAGTTTGTCAATCAGCTTTTGTCAATAATTAAGTACAAAGGAATGCACCATAAAGATGAGCTGAGGTGTGAAGTACCTACCGTTGTCAAAATAACTCCGAATATCAGCCAAAATGAACCTAGTCGCTGGAAGAGATGAGAAAGGAGCTCCAGTTCATTCGTCAACATGCGTCCATCTTTAAGTAATCTTGAAACTGGAAGCTTAGATGGATCTGCTTTGGTGTTCCATAGCATAACTGCCTTCTTCAACAAATATATCACACGTAGAATTCCCTTGATCAAAACCATCTCTGTGCTTCCTACTGTTACAGCCCAATAACTTATAACAGCAACGGAGATGATCGGGTAGGATATCAAGATCACGTTGTAAGCAAGTGGGGACAAAAGTCTGGACTTTCCCCTACGTTCTCCCTGTACATCACAAAGACTTTCCAGAATGAAAGACGTGTTAGTGATCAAGGTTGTACGGGCCTCAAAGAATTCACAGTGATCGGCCTATCTAATGACCTCTTTAACTCGAATTGGAATAAACATCTCACCATGCATATAAAAGACCCCATCCTGCGAGCCATATTCCAACATACGACCTGATATGGAATTTAATGAACACGTA